CTCCATTTTGTTTACTATTTTACAATCTTCATTTGGAAAATCTACCCATAAAATATACGACTCATACCGATTTTATTTTAGAAACGCACAAAAATAATTTTTTTTTTAAAAAAAAACCTTTTTCATCAAATGGCTTACATAAACTAACAACACATGAAATTGAAATTGACCCATGGTTAAATTCCTGTATGATATATGTAGGTGTCATAGAAATCATGTGTTTATGTTACTATCGTAGTCATGTCTGCTATCATCTTTAGTTTGTGTTGGACAAGTGAATCTATATTTGGATATTTTCAACCATTGGATCAGTTGTCATATAAGACTCATTAACTCCTCATGTGCGTATGTAAACTATGTGGGGGGAGTGTCAGCTGTCTATCAATTTTAATACTAGTGATCGAATATGGACCACCACACCCTTTTGTTTCAACAATGAATTAATTTTATTTTTGCTAGTACAACTTGTTGATATAACTCTGCAACTACTTAGTACTTATACATGTTGTTGCTTCGTCTACGTGCTGGTTGGTACCTTAACCACATTCAGTATTTATGGCCCCTCTTATCTTTTTTACATTCTTACACTATCGCTTTATCAGCCGACAATTTTCTCTTTCGGTTTTCATCTTCAAATACATATAAAACACATGCCAAATAATATCAAAATTCTATTTACAGATGAAATTATCAAAAAATAATGTTAACTATGAGAGATCAAGTAATGGATTAGCTATAAAATTCAAAACAAAATCCTACACTTAATTTCTTTTTTAAAGTTAAGGCATCTAACCATCTCATCAAAAAACTAAATTGATTAGAGGGAGGGTAAAACCTTATCTGAATCTGGTATTTCTACTGCACCAATAAATGCATGACATGTGTTTAATATATAGTCGATTATTATCACTCAATCATGATTAATTAATACTATATATTCTTACCCGGTGATAAGTTGATATGATTAATATATAGTATTGCTATATTTTTAACATGGTTCAAGCGTAGCGTTAGACAATTGAGCATAAATGGTAAAAGGGGGTTGGAATTCAGCGTGATATTAAATGGCATCATTAAATAGTTGTAACATATAATGGACTACAACTCTAAATTGTGGAGCCTTAAAAACTATCGCCAAACATATACAGGGAAGTTCTCAAGTATGATAGTGAATTAAGAGCTACTTGAAGTAAAGAAGAGTGTGATATGACACTCTAACTTCCTAAAATCACGTTTCTATTTTTAATTTTAGTGAACAAAACAGTTGTGAGCTCGATCAGATTCAAGGTTTAAATTTTATGACTTAACATAAATCCAATATGTTGTTCAGATCATATCATATACACACACCATTTAACTTGGTCTCACCTGACATTTATTCTCTTAAAAGTATGATATGCACAAGTAGACACGAATATTTATATGAAACTGAACAAGTCGATACATGCATCCTACATGACTATTCATGTGAGATATACTCATCCTACATGAAAACTGATTTATATTATGTTATGTAGGTCATGTGTGTTTATTTATTCAACTTTATACAAATTTAAGTGTCTACTTGTGTACACCCACAGTTGGAAGACATCGATGTCAACCGAGACCAAGTTAAAAGAGACATTTATATATTATGCTTATTTTTAAAGTTATACATTTATATCTATTTATTGTAATTTTAATAAATTTTCATGTAAATTTATACGTACTCCACGTCAAAAAGTATTTGGGTTCAAATAAAACCCACCCTTATACATTAGACCCCTCTGGTTGTGACGGATGAAATTATCCCTAAATTCTTGACTATTACTACTTCTATTGTCATTATTGTTATTATAGAAATTAAGGATTAGTGGTGAATGATCATGTGATGAATGACTTTATGTCACTTTCTTTTGAAACCCCAGTGTGCACATCAAAAGGGCTAAATCATGTGCCATTAATTTTTGTTTGAAATAATCCACTAATACTCTTAATTATGATTAGGATTTAAGCATTATCTTTTGTTGATCTACTACTTATTTTGATTAACATGCATGTTTAAAGTAAAATTGGTTCATCAACAAATAACTAATTGGGCTCTCGTGTGACAAAATAGAAAGTTATACTAATCTTTTACGAAATGCCAGATGTTAGTATTCCAAATTAGTGTTTCCTAGTAGTAGTAAGTAGTAACAGCTTCATAGAACTGTTAATATCGAAGATTTCCAGAACAGAGCAAATAAAAAGATAAATAGCAAACAAAACAACAAAACGTGTGACGGTACGTTTGTCTAGTTCGATATGGTGAAAATTGCATCACTTTGCTTTCGAAGCGAATTCAAGATTTAGTGTCGGTAAATTGATCTAATTATGTTTATTATATAATTTTTGAACTTTTTGAATATGTATATAATAACTTGTTCAGTTGAACCTACAAAATTCACTTTAAATATGTCTCTACTTCGTAGTCAGAGGTAGAGCTAGAGTGTAAGTTGGGGGTTTACATGAATCCATGAGATATTGTATATGTATTAAGAAATCTACATGAAAAAGTTAATATGTGTGTTTGGTAGGATGGAAAATGTTTTTCAGAAAATATTTTCTTGGAAAGCAAGTGATGTTGTTATTTATTTTTAGTGTTTGAAATGTAAACAAAAAAAAAAATATTATTCCAAAGTAATTTATATGTAATCTAGCAAAACATGAATATGAGGATGCGTTGGTGTGAGGAGTTGGGGTTCAAGGGTGGCGGGGTGAGATGGTCAGGGGATCGGGTCAGAGAGGTGTTGGATGGATGAGGAAGAGACAATGAACTTGTAATGTCACTTATTCAACTTATTTTCACTACTTTTATAAGGAAAGTCAATTTTCCTTATTCTTAAAGAAAATGTTTTTAAAAATATTTTTGGCCAACCAAACATGAAAAATTGAAAATACCACACATTGGTGCTTTGTGGACTAGGTCTTGGTGCAATTTGTTGCGGATAATGTGGCATAATTTTGTATAATCACACTAAATTTGCAAAGACTAAATGACTAGATAAACATGGAGTAGTTTAATTTCACAAATAATATTTAAAGCAGTGATGTTATTTAGTCAACACATGCATGGTCTGAGCTGGTTACCAATGTGTACATGGAAATTAAATTAGTAGGAAACCTCAACGTCAAAATGCTTTTTGGGCTGTTATAGACTTTGATAAGATGTGTGGAGTCACTTTTATTACATCAAAAATGAAAAAATATAAACAGATGAAGCCTATATTGTCTTAGGTTTCTCATTTGTCTTGAAACTTTATGATATTTGATTGTCTGGAGGAAATCTTTTAATTTTATTTCCTGAAAAATCCGTAATCAGTGCAACACTTTCTGGGAAAATGATGGATAAGATAAGACCTCTAAATCTCTGAGTTAGATATGCCTGGTTTCTCATGTCTGAATTTTTAACTTCTTTTTTTTTTTTTAAAAATAAAATAATTTCTTGGTCAACAATATTCACTTAACCCAACCACCTCACACGCATAATATTAATAGGCTTCAGACACCGGGTGGGAAACCAAAAAAGTAACTCCAATAACTTACAGACTGTGTACATGAATTTTCCACTTAGAATTACGAGTATTTTGTAAAGTGTAATCTTGTACTCTATTGCCATTTGAAAATTTATCGGAAATTAATAATAGTACTTAATAATCAAGGTAAAATAGATATAAATGATAAATTATATATCTCTGGATCTATTTTTGAATATTTTAATTGCCTTCAGACTTAAACCTTGAGGAGATACTGATAGTATCCGATTCTAGCATTAGTGGAAGGATTGCAGTTGCGTGTGTATCTTGATATTAATTATACCAAACAAATATAGATATATATCATGTGAAATTCAATCAAAAAGAGATGAAGAATATTCTTGTTATCCACAAATTCAAGACGTGGTTCTTTGAGTTGCTCCTCTATTTTTTTCTCCTTCTCTTGATAATAATGGAATCATATTTAAAGTTTTTTACAATGAAATCGACAAATCAAGCTCCTAACAATATAGTACGTAACATGTTTCTTTTTTCAAATAACAATAGTGTTCGTATTAATTTGCTTACAACTATTTCATCAGGCATAATTAATATCAAATATTCAGTCTACCCAAACTTAAGCAAATGAATATATAATGTTGTATCATTATTAAAATTTAAACTCTTATATATTACTATGATTTTTACCTGTATTATTGATCGTTAAGCTGAGTGCAAGAATGTGATAACACTGAAAGAGCGTTGTGGATACAAATGTTGAGACAGGATTAACGAATCTGATGAAGTGGATAGCATTTGATGGTTCCCACTTGTTTTCCATTTTCATTAAAATAAAATCATAATGTATAGAGGGTAGAATTAAATTAGCCATACATAATTTCACCAATCACATGAATTGTACTACTCTGCTATCGACCCTACACATACTGGATTCAATTTTGCAATGGAATTCCAGAATAGGACTGCTTCAATTATACCACGCGGCCTCTTCCCAGAGAAAACAAAACCTCTAAATATTTATTACTCCGACTGTCTCAATTTAGTTGACACAGTTAGAGAGTCAAGAGTCAAACTTCATATAATTTTAAAGTTTTTTTTTGAAAAACAACTTGCATGTTTAGAAACTACATTAAAAAAAGTATTAAAAGTAACAAAAATTTAAAATTACAGTATTTAGAGGTCATACAAATAAAATTGCGTTCAATTTTTTTTTTATTTGACTCTAAAAATTCAAATTAGATCATATAAATTAGTAACTTTTTCAACTACTCAGGCAAATCCTTTAATTCTACCAAAATAAATTATGATGAATTTTTTTTTTTTTTTATGTGAATATGCTAAAAATTATATGTAGAGAGAGGATGGTCCCAAGCAACAGTTAAAGAAACTTTATCAGTTGGTCAGCTTAATTTAATATTGGACCTTTTATTTTAACGCCCAAACCACCCTTTTAACTCCTCTATTTATTCTCCACGATTGCATTTCCTAACTATACCCTCGTTACTCAAGCAAACACATAGAAACTTTTTTTGTGAGTTATTTTCCTCCTCCTTAATTGGTTTATTTCTCTTCAATTTTTCTAGTACACTAATTTCATTAGCACTAAACTTTAATTCCCTCCCCTGCAGGTTTGAAAATGGCTCTTTTAGGTCTCCTTTTAATGGGAATTTCCCTCATGTTTCAATCAGCCCATGGCAATGGTGGTTGGATCAATGCTCATGCCACTTTTTACGGTGGAGGAGATGCTTCTGGAACTATGGGTACGATAATTTACTTAACGTTTAGTCATGATGTACAAACACTTTATTCTGTGAATGGTACGTGTCTATACTGAAATTGTGGGTGGATTTTGACAGGTGGTGCTTGTGGTTACGGAAATTTATACAGCACTGGATACGGAACGAACACTGCTGCGTTGAGTACTGCTCTGTTCAACAACGGGTTGAGCTGTGGAGCGTGTTTTCAGTTAATGTGTGTGAATGCGGGACAGTACTGCCTGCCGGGCATAATTACTGTGACAGCCACAAATTTCTGTCCACCAGGAGGGTGGTGTGATCCTCCGCGCCCTCATTTTGATCTCTCTCAACCTATCTTCTTGCGCATTGCTCAATATAGAGCTGGCATCGTTCCTGTTGCCTACAGAAGGTAATTTACTCTTAAATTCATGTTTTAGAGCCATTCATACCGTTATCATTAGCATATTTTGGAGTCAGTCGTAGTACTCTTTGTGATACTTCAAATTGGAACTCAGTTAAGATCAAGAACAAACACCTAACAATCTACTAACCGGAAGGGTATGAATGTCCTCGAAATACATCAATGGATTAAATTAAGATATGCCTCCCGTTTAGTCCGTTTAAAAAAAAGTTACATTTTTATATTTAATAATTTTTTTTACATAACATATCCAAAATTACATGATTCAAAAGACATTTTGGTACATTACACACATAGTATTTAGTTTAACGGCACAAGATTCAAAAGTCTCTTTACTTGCTTAAATTGTGTACTGAGTCTGTTAAATTAAGTCTTAGGCCTAACTCATACCCCAAAAGCTAGCTCAATGGGAGGAGGATTGCCCAATCCTTATAAGGAGTCCACCCAGACTTTTTTGCTTTTAACACCTCACCTCACGTCCAGTGCTTAACATCTAGTGCGTGGGCATTTTTTGATTTTTTTTTTTCTTGGGCCCCAGCATTGAGTGGGATGAGCCCTGCTCTGATACCATGATAAATTAGGTCATAGGCCTAACTGAGTCCAACTAAGATACATAAATTGAAATTGAGTAAGAGTATGCTTTACCATTTTCCCATAAACCGAAAAGTGTAGTTGTTTATGGTACATGTGGTAACAATTATAACTAAATTTTCTTGGATATATATGTTAATGTTTTACAGAGTACCCTGCAGAAGAAGTGGAGGAATTAGATTTACAATCAATGGTCACTCTTACTTCAACTTGGTTCTTGTAACAAATGTTGGAGGTGCAGGAGATGTACACTCCGTATACATCAAGGGTTCAAGAACTCAATGGCAACCAATGTCAAGAAATTGGGGCCAAAATTGGCAGAATAACGCTTACCTTAACGGCCAAAGCCTGTCCTTTAAGGTCACTACAGGCGATGGTCGCACTGTTGTTTCATACAATGCAGCTCCTAGTTCTTGGTCTTTTGGTCAGACATTTTCTGGAGGACAATTCCGTTAGAACGCAAATATTTTGCGAAAAAAATAATCAGAATTTTCAAGTATACTACTTACTAAAATATTTAATTTTTTAAATATTATTCTAAGAGTTTGGCCTTAATTTAAGGGTTTTACTCACCAAAATATTTGGGAAAAGCGCAGTTTGGCACTTTTTGTCCATTGTAAAATCGGTCATTCAATTGTGGAAGTAAAAAGAATTGATTCGGCCTACTATTTTTTGGGTGGTTATTAACGTTTAGGGGGCGGCAGTTGTGAGCTTTTACTGCTCAATTTAATAGTATAAATAGCATTACAATATTGTGTGCATAGAAGAAAAATATCTACTTTTTTTTTCAATGTAAAAGAGCTAAGCACTAATTATGCTGAGTATGTATGTACCAATTGTCTCTAGCTATTTGTTTGTAAGAAAATGTTACTATAATAATAAAAGGGAACTCCAAGTTTTACTAGGTGCAATGTCTTATAAAGGGGATTCTTTACCTTACAATTTCTTAAAGGTTATGATGCCTTCTTCTAATTAGTAACGAGAGTTTTGTTATAATAATGTGTCAATCTCAAACAAGTTAGTGTCGGATATATAGATTCTCGACATCCCTTCCTTTTTCCTTTTCGGATGAGGGTGAGAAAGGCAGAGGAAGTTGAGACGGAAGAAACACATTAATAATTATGGATGGTCCTCTAACTTATCTAAGTAGATGGAATTGGGCACTATTGAACTTATACCCTATCATAATAACGAGTTAAAACTCCACCTACTAGAAATTATTTTTTCACTTTATTCCTAAAACAAAATATAGACATCAGTACAAGGGGAAGTTGGATGAATTCATTGGTTTTCACCATTAAAAAATGTAGTGGGATCACAAACTTACATTAAAAGAAAAAAGAGGTAGCAATAATATTCTTATAGGACTCTGATAGATAAAGAAATAGATCTTAAATCTAAGTAAACACTAAAATCTAACCCATGAAAAATGGATTATCTAAAACTATATAAGAAATCCAAATTATGCTTAGCGTACCGATGTGGAACTCAACCGACTCTTTTAATCAAGTACATTGAAATTGAACTTTACCGAAAATCTTTTTAGTGAGACAACAAAGTCCGTGGGTGGCAAATAGATTTATCGATTAAATTAATTTTATATTTGATTAAATTATTCGTCTTTTCAATATATATCATAAATCAATCAATAAAATATAAATAATAAGATATTACAAATCCACACTCCACACTAAAAGCATGAAGTTAACAAATTTAAAACTTTCAATAATATTACTAAAATTATAAATATTCATCATTCATTTACAATTGTCCTCGACGAGTTTTCATAATCTGAAAACGATCGATAATGACATCATTAGTAACATTTATATATACATCACGCTCTATGTAACACACTAGACAATCATTTAAATATTGATTACCAATATTATTCCGCACTTCATTTTTTATGTGCTTCATTGACGAAAATGCTCTCTCCACAGTTGTCGTAGCAACAGGTAAAATCAAAGTCAACTTTACAAGTAAATAAACAAGTGAAAAGTCAAAGGAGTAATAATGTAATTAATTTAATTTAAGTCAATAACAATTATAAAAAAAAAATAATGTGCCAGCTGTTTTTCCTTAAAAAAATGTACTTGGAGCTTCTTTTTTTTCTTAAAAAACGTCTGCAGCAAATTTCTCAAAAAAATAGGTACAAAAGGGATTTGAACCCGCAACATCAATCTTCTAAAGTTGCCGTCCTACCGTGGCACCACAAGCCAGTTTTGTTTTTTGGATGGCACACTTTATATTTATATAAATATTATATACATATACCTATGTATATATAGAGTTTCTATCGAAGTTCGGGGGTCGCGTGGCACCCCACACCCCTTCATAGATCCGCCCCTGCAGTAGTGATGGCATAACAAATATATCACCCTTCAAAAAATTGAAAAAGGGCTATATAGAGTTCTCACTTTTGGCCTACTATCTTTAACATTTTAATTATCAATTATCCTAATTTTATGATGGAAACTTTAATAAAATTATTATTTTTGTATATTAAAAAAATAACTTATTAGTATCATTGATATTATTGTGCATCTTTTACCTAAAATATGGTAACAAAATACAACTGAAATGAACCATTTCGAAATAGAATAAAAGCAGTTAACATGTACAATGATGTTAAAAGTTGAAAGAATGCCACTATTTCCTTTAATTAATTTAATACAATTTATTATGTCCAACTATAATTATGTATTGATAAAATATATTAGAGGTATTCAGATTTTACGGATTTTAGGTGTTATATTCCTATAACAGTTTATTAGAGAAAAATATATATATATATATATATATATATATATATATATATATATTGAAAATAAGCACGTGCTGGCCAATAATACTATTTATCTATTTTCTCCTAAATTAGAAAAAAAATCCTTATTCAAAAATTTATGTAAAAAAAAACTCTATTTCCTTATTATTAGCATTTATTTAAAATAACGTTGTCTCCTAATGTACAGTTAAGTAATTTCTCTAATTAAATCATTGTTAAATAGTATTGGAATTAAGACATTCATTCATTAACTCCATACAAATGGCGTAATTTGTTATTACTTCCTTCTCCGTCTAAAAATATCTGATAATACTTGTCCAGTTTAGAAAATTAAGAGATAATTTATCTTTTGTTTATTTTATCTTTACTATTAAATCATTTAACATATTTCTCAAAACATTAAATTTAATAAAGTCAAAGGATAAAATAATAATATTACCCCTATTATTTATTGTTTCTTGAAGAGTATGTGAAAGTCAATAGTGGACAACTATGGTTGGACAAATGTAATATATTACAAAATAAATGGATTTAACTATATATTTAAAATCAAATTACCAGTAACACGAACGTTAGCATTATTTATGACAATCCATTTTTTAAAAATAATTGCAACATTAATAATTATATTTAATTTTTAATATCTATTTAAACTTTGTTAATCCTCAATATTTTCCTAAGCACATTCTCCCTACAAGTAATTAAATTCCTTCTATTTATTATTGCTTTGAGAAACGAGAGGTTATTCCTTAAGGCTTAAAAAGTACATAATTATTCTTTATCCCATTAATAACTTTCCTATTCTTGGTGATTTTTATTTTTTTTAGATTACCTCTAACTATAGATGTCAAAATTGTGGAGTGATGTTCAACTGAAAGTATATATTTATATTACGTTATTACTTTGTATTCTATGCACGATTGTATTGTTACATCATTTTTTTTAGTGTTTTGACCTTATTATGAATTTTATGTGCGCAATTTTATTTTTTTTGAATGAACATGAACAAAAAAGAGGTTATTTTGGCTCCTTTTGAAGCAAAGAAACGAAGATTGAAGGATGACTAGGTCCTCACCTTGAGAGACACACATGTAAAAAAAAAAGATATTTTAAAATTGATCGGCCTCACCACTAGTGTTTGAGTTTTTCAAGTACAAGCCAAGAAAAATGATCTCAATGAATTTGGATTAATTATTTGATTCCTAATGAAGAAAGAATGTATGTCTAGAAAAATTTGATCCATTTTTTATTTAGTGTATGCGTCAATTATTTGTTAATATATATGTCTTCCAACTAATTATTGTCTCCTTGTGAATTGTCATTATTTTATTTATTTTAAAAATTTCACCACTGAAATGATCTAATTTTTCATTCTTCATTTAATAGAAATTTGTTTCATTGAGAAATGCGTATTTTTACAAATTACTCTTAGAATGTCCAAAAAATGTCTTCTAAGAATTGAATTAATTAAATTGTTTCAATTCATGTAAATGTTGAAATAGTATGAGAATTTTTAAAATGTGATTTTAAGAAAAGTCAAGAGGAAAGAGGCAAGAAAATTTTGAAAGCAATTAGAGAAAAGATATACTCCCTCCGTCCACAATTAATTGTCATGGTTTCCTTTTTTAGAGTCAAACAATAAGAATTTTGACCAACATTTTACGATATATATTTTCATCATATTGATTTGCAAAAAATTGCAACTTATAGTACTTTTCGTATAGTTTTTGAATATCTAATTTTTTTTAAAAAATATCGAATTAACGTAATCTAATTTAACTTTAAAAATTAGTCAAATTGACTTTCGAAAAGCGCAACATGACAAATAAAAGTGGACAGAGGGAGTATAATTTTTGGCTAAGAAATTTTCTTGCTCAACAAATTAAGGCTAAAGATTCATGATGTGATCTTCATCAACATATTTTTAACTTTTACAGAGATAAATATTTCATATTTTGAAAATTTTACAAAGTTAGATTTAATTTTTTTCCTTTTTACTTTGTAATCTATACATAAAGTGATAGTGTTTTTTATATGATATGGGCTATATTAACAAATATTTCTTTAATGTTAGAATATTTATTTTTAAAAAAATTAGTGAACTTTGTAATTGACAAACAAATTTTAAAAAATCTAAGCTTTGAACTTGACTAATTATGAAATAGGTGATATGCAAAGTTTGGGAACTAATTTGAGAAAATATTTGAATTTGTGTGCATACATGAAGATTCATCCATTAATTCATTAAATCTTGGCTAAATTTATATCGAGATCATATCATATTCCTATTTATTTAATTTGTCACTTTTTTGGATATTTTTCTCTGTTTTAATATCGTTTCTTTGTTAAAAGTCAAGTGAGAAGATTTTCTATCATTTTATATATATATATATATATATATATATATATATATATATATATATATATATATATATATTGATAAATAATACATGAGTTTTTATACCGTTCTTGAATATATAAATTTTAATTTTAAAATATCAAAGTAATCTAATATTATTTAACTTTGAAAAATAAGCAAATTGACTCTCGAAAAGTTATAACTATTTTAAAAGGAAGAAAGTTTATTAAAAAAATAAGTTCTAATTACAACTCCAAAATAAATAAGGAAAAAATCACCGTTTTAAAAAAATAGAGTTTATCACAGCTCCATAATA